TCCCCACCCCGGGTTTGAGAAGGCCGAGACGGGATTCGAACCCTGCTCTCTAGAGCCACAGTCTGCTACGCTCAACCCACTGGGCCACGCTGTCGAATTCCCTCAGAGGAGCCTCTCCAAGGGCCTCCCTTCGCTTCCTTTCCACCCCAGACCCGGAGGAAGCCGCCCTTCGCTCGCAAAGGCCGAAGGGACCCCCAGAAGGAGCCAGAAGGGGCCCAACTTGCCTCGAGCTCGGCTTTGCCGCGTCGCTCTCGGCCCCCTGGAACATCATGGCGGCGCTTCGGACGGAGCTCACTCTGCCACAACCGCCTCGCCTCAGCGCCGGAGCAGCAATGGCCGAAGCGCCGCCGGGTTCCTCAAGGGCTGGGCCTCGGACACTTCTATTGGCTCGGGGGAACGTCCCTCACTGCAATTCCAACCAATGAGCGACGAAGGAGGTGGGGAAAAGTTTCAAGAAAGCGAGGCGAGCGGGCGCCTGAAGAACGGCCAGAAAATTTTCTACGCCAGTGACGTCACCAGGGGTGGCGCCACCCTGTGAGGTAACTGAGAGTGGCACCCTCCTGAAGGCCATGGCAACATTTAAAATATATTTTGAAATGACAATATATTTTGAAAAAAAAATCTTCCCCCCAAAAGAGAGTTCAACAATAAAATCACATCTTCAGTTTCAAACACAAGTCCTCTTTCCATATACATATTTACATAGGGCCTTTGCAGACTGCCAGAAATAGTGCAAATGGAGTCCACTTTTAGGGTTAGGGTTAGTGCTAGGGAATCATGGGAATTGTAGTTTTTTTCTGAGACATTGAGCCTTCTCTGTCAGAGAGCTTTGGTGCCACAATAAAACACAGTTCCCATGATTCCCTAACCCTAACCCTAACCCTTAAAGTGGACTCAGTTTGCACTATTTCTGACAGTCTGCAAAGGCCCAATAGTTACTTCCATCAGTTAAATCCAGTTTGTATTCAGTATGTAAGTAAGTAAGTACATTTATTCGGTCATTGACCAGCAAATTGTATTCAGTATGTAGAGAGATCTTGTAGCCAGCGCCTTTGAGACTCAAAGGTAGAAGTTGGCAGCATAAGCTTTCCTAGGCTTATGTCTATTTCCTCAGATGCATATTATTATTATTATTATTATTATTATTATGTAATAATAGTCTGTAAAATCAATATGTAGAGAGATCTTGTAGCACCTTTGAGACTCCCTGAAACTATGAAGTTGGCAGCATGAGCTTTCGTAGACTTCAGTCTACTTCCTCAGATGCATATTATTATTATTAAAAGGTAATAAAATGTAAAATCAGTATGTAGAGAGATCTTGTAGCACCTTTGAGACTGTCTGAAAGGAAGAAGTTGGCAGCATGAGCAATTGGGAAACTACTTCCTCAGATGCATCATAGACTGTACGCATCTGAGGAAGTAGACTGGAGTCAACGAAAGCTTATGTTGCCAACTTCTTCCTTTCACTGAGTCTCAAAGGTGCTACAAGATCTCTCTACATACTGACTTACAGACTAATACAACTATACATTTGAATTCTCCCAGTTTGTAATGACATTTTTATCTTTAACTTTAATGACTTCAGCTTTTTTGTTTTAGTGCCTTGTTTCTCTGAGTGTTAACTTCTCATCTTTAAACCTATATATTTTGACTAATTGTACTATAAATCCAATTCTTATACACAAATATACCGTTATACTCACATACTACAATAATCATAACCATTTTTTACAATAACTCAATATTGGGGCCCAATCATAGAATAATATAATCATAGAGTTGGAAGAGACCCCAAGGGCCATCCAGTCCAACCCCATTCTGCCATGCAGGAACTCACAATCAAAGCACCCCAACAGATGGCCATCCAGCCTCTGTTTAAAGACCTCCAAAGAAGGAGACTCCATCACTCTCCAAGGGAGTGTGTTCCACTGTGGAACAGCTCTCACTGTCAGGAAGTGCCTCAAATGTTGAGGTGGAATCGCTTTTCCTGGAGCTCCCATCCATTGCTCCGGGTCCTATTTTCTGGAGCAGCAGGAAATGTTTGCTCCCTTCTCAATATGACGTCCCTTCAAATATTTAAACAAGGCTATCATGTCACCTCTTAACCATCTCT